AAATCTGTTTTTTTTAATGACCGTTGTGATGAAATAGGTGCTAATTTCGTATTTCTTAAGGAATATTTATTATTGATAAACAATAGATAGCTATTCTAGTATATTTAAAGAATTTGTTATAAGTTTGCTTCAAGCTACGTAAATATCGCTAAAATATATAAGGAGTAAAAAGATATTCAATAGAGGTGAGGGCAAGTTAGAAGGTTGTTTTGTCTGATGAGGGCATAATTTCATTAGTTTAGGAGCATCAAAAGGATGATAATCTTGTCTTGAATATAAGCCAATCTCCGAATCAAGTATAAGCGACCTATATTTACTTGTTCACAAAGAAATGCTAACAGACTCAAACAGGAAAAATGGTCGGTTACCTGTAACACACCAGTAAGTACCTGACTCCACCTTGCTGTCTTCTACATTTTAAAGAACCAGATCATGTTTCAAATTTGAGTACTACGGTCATATTTGGACAGCAGCTGCCCAGTTCTCAGTTTCCAGTTTCGATAGATTCTAAAAGCGGCTCCGCGTCCTTGTGGGTGACAAATTATTTTCTCATTGCTTTATCACTAGATGGAAAGTGTTCGGACGAACTCTGTTCTTTCGTTCCGTCAGTTCGAACCTGCATCATGCCACTTACATTGCAGCAAACCAAATTCATTCACTCCGTATGATGTCAGCACCAATCGAACAGCTTCCCGTGAACCATTGCTCTGTGAACCTCCTTTCAATAGGATGTTTCCCTAAATCCTAACCTATTCAAGTCTAGGCATAACCGTTATCTTCAATAAACAGTGCCTCTTACCGTATAACCCAATACCTCGGGTGGACTCCAAGATGTTTACAGAGAGAACCTTACTGTAAAAAAAAATATCACTATTTACTAACCCAAAGTAAGTAAGTGCTTTTAGACACAAATATAAACAAACAATAATTACCTATCCCTGAGACAGATAGATAAATATAGAGACAAATATATAAAATTCCATTATTTACTCATTCCTGAATCAGATAAATTCTTATAGACTCAAATAAAAACGATCAATATTCACCCATGCCTGAACTAGGCAAATGCTTATAGACTCAGCTATAAACAACATGTATTTGCCAATCCTTGAATCTGTTGAATGCTTATAGATTCAAAAAGAAACGAACAATATTAGCTATGCCTAAACTAGGCAAATGTTTATAAACTCAGCTATAAACAACTTGTATTTGCCAATCCTTGAATCTGTTGAATGCTTATAGAGTCAAATAAAAACGAACAATATTACGCATGCCTGAACTAGGCAAATGTTTATAGACTCAGCTATAAACAACATGTATTTGCCAACCCTTGAATCTAATTTACGCATGCCGAAAGGCAAATGTTTATAGAATCTTTTTTAAACAAAAGGGGAAGCCACTAGGACGCAAAAGGGTTACAGAAGATTTGGAGCAAGATCATAGGAGTGATAGAGGAAAAGATGATGAGAAGGATAGTGGATAGATCAAGGCAACTGGAGATGTCGATTGACATTACATTTGAATAGTTGGAGATTATAGCTCTCAGGGAAACTGGAATAGGGAAGGGAGTTCCACAGGCGAGAGGTGCGAGTCATGAAGCTATTGGAGTAGAAGAGACGGCAACATTTAGTAGTTTCGACAGTGAAAGTGTGAGAGCGGGATGCCGGCCTCGTAGGGCCCTGTTGAATGCTTATAGATTCAAATACAAACGAACAATATTACCCATGCCTGAACTAGGCAAATGTTTATAGACTCAAATATAAACCAACGATATTTTCCCATCCTTGAGTCAGGCAAATATATGTAGACTCGAATATGTAAAATACCAATGTTTACACATCACTGAATGAGATAAATGCTTTTAGACACAAATATAATCGACCATATTTGCCCATCCCTGAATCAGACAAATGCTTATAGACTCAAATATAAACAATATTCGCACATTCTTAACAAGATAAATGCTTACAGATTTAAATATAAAAGTCAAATATTTTCCCATCCCTGAACCATTTTATTAACACCGTCTCTCAATTAGCATTATTATAGTTTAAATATATATATATATATATATATATATATAATGGACTCTCCCGTCGGTATCGACGTATGAGGCTCTGACAGCTTATTGATTCAGTTATGAAAGTTTGTGCGATAAATATATATGTCAATAGCCAACTACAAGACAATGGCCAAGTAGTACAATTAAAAAACAATATTATAAATAGCCAAGTAGAGCAATTGTATGACTATATAAGACAATAGCCAACTATAAGACAATAGATAAGTAAAACAATTAAAAGACAATAGAGCAATATAAGACAATAGCCAAGCATATCAATTGAATAACAATATAACGCTATAGCCACCTAGAACAATTAAAAGACAACATGAAACAATAGCCAACTATAAGGCAATATCCAAGTAGAGCAATTAAAGGAGACTATAAGACAATAGAGCAATTAAACGAGAAAATAGGACAATAGTGAACAATAAAACAATAGTCAAGAAGAGCAATTAGATAACAACGTAAGACAACAGATATGTAGAACAATTGAAATGCAATATAAGACAATAAACAACAACAAAGCAATAGCTAATTAGAGCAATTAAAATACAATAATATATAAAAGCCAACTATAAACGTTGTGATAAATATGGCGACAAAGATGAGGACAATAGTGCAATTAAAAGACATGTGACAATAGTCAACTATAAGACAATAGCTGAGTAGAGCAATTAAAATACAATATAAGATAATAGCTAATTAGAGCAATTAACAGATAAGGAGTAAAAAGCCATACAATATTGTAATACAATAGCCAACTAGAGCAATTAAAAGACAATATGAGACAATAGACAACTATAAGATAATAGCTAAGTAGAGCAATTAAATTAGAAAGATAAATATCTTTATATTTTATAATTGTTTTATAATTTTACAAAATTATAATTAAAATACTATTTACCATATATATATATTTAGTATAATATTTACATATATATATATATATATATATATATATATATATATAAAATTTAATATTTAAATAATACTTAAGTAATAAAATTATTATATATATTATTCAGAATATTTAATGAAAACTTAATGAATATATAATAATATTTTAATATTTAATAACACTTTAATAATATTTAATAACATTTTGATTATTCAGACTATTTAATGAACATGTTATGACCATATAATAATTTTCAAATAATATTTAATTGCAATTTAATAACATTTAATAATATTTAATGATTATTCAGAATATTTAATGAAAATTTAATGATTATATAATAATATTTAAATAATATTTAATAGCAGTTTAATAATATTTAAATTATTGAACATTAAATATATATCAAATATATTTAAATTACTGTTTAAAAGTTATTATTTAAATGATTATAAGTAACGTAGCTTTTCTGTGTCTTTTAAAAATATTTTCACCGAACTTGTTCTGATGAACTCTTCTCTGTGGCTCCTTGCCTATGAATTTAAGCGCCATCCGAGATTGGTGGCATGATCTCGTGGCCGAGTCGGTTAAAAGCACGTCGGACATTATGACGGTTTTTCCTGCAAAGAGGGACGAACGTTCGAATCTTACCGGTGTGGGCTGTTTTTTTTTAATAGGATTTCTCGAATATTCAGGTCAGGAGACGAAAATAGATATGCTGGTCAAAAAAAAAAAAAAAAAAAAATAAACGGAGAATTAAAAATCTATAGCTTGTCTAGATAATGATATATTTTGGCGTGGCATCTGGTTTTCATTTACTTTCGCAAGGCCGTAATGTAGCTTCATTCTGCCTTTTTTTTTGTATATACTTACATGGTTATTGTTCTGATGAACTTTCCTCAACGATACCTCGTCTTTATGAATTTAAGCGCAGTACTAGATTGGCGGCTAGGTCTCACCATTTTACCGTCGACTTGGCTAGATCTAACCGTAAGTTCTATGCTAATAGTTTCTTCTATCGCACTTTTCGCTTACGGAACCCCCTTCCAGCTACTTGCTTTCCAGTTAAGATTGATCTTCAAAAATATAAATTCATTGTCAATCGCTATCTTCTTAAATTCCGTTTTTTTTTATTGTTCTTTCGCCATAATAATGATTTATCTGTTATTCTTTCATACTCAGAAACCCAACTGCGTGTTACTGTCTCTGTTGTAGTGTTATTCTCTCTCTCTCTCTCTCTCTCTCTCTCTCGAGAAGTTTGTAACATTATTTATCATCTCTCAGGGGCGACTCCGTCAAAGGACTAAGTCGCAACAGAGGAAAATTATACTGGGATGTGGTGTCCACCCTTGGGGAACTGCTGTCCGAGGCCGCGCACTCTCATTGCACCAGAGAGAGGGATCGATGCTTGCACCAAGGCCAGCACAACCGACGATTGCGGGTGGCTGTGGGCAATATTGGTCCTGGCCCGGGGGTACGCACTTGGGTAACCACTTTAAAAAAAAGACCCTGTGTCACAACTCGTTTTAGTGGGGAGACAGAGTAAATACCTACTGTCTCTGTTGTATTGTTTGGGTTGAAATGATTTTAAACAGTTATATTGCATTTTCCACTAAAAAGATCATAGGTTCTCACTTGGCTTCGAGGGCCATTTGATTCGCTTCAGAACAAGGTAGGAAAAAAACTAAAATCATTTAATTAGAAGCAAAGAAAAGAGTGCAACGTGTCAGTTCAAAAGCGCCTACACATACCGATGTCTTCTGTTACTATAAGTAGCGAGAGTGTATCCATCGCCGACTTGCTAGGCCCGTCGCGTAGCTTACAGCGTTTAGTTTTCCCCAGGGGTCACACATTTAAATACTGACCAGTCTCAGCGTTGCTTGACTTCGGTAATCGGAAGGAAGCGGTGTTTCAACGTGCCGTAAGCCGCGTGAACGAGGTAAAGAGCCTCTCTAGTTAAAGGGTTCCAGAGTAGGAGGCAGAGTTTATGGGGATATGTAAGAAAAATAACGGTTAACCATAGACATGGACAGGGCTTACGGACACACCACGTTGAAACACCACTTTCCGTATAATCATCGAAGTTAAGCAACATCGAGCCTAGTCAGTACCTAGATGGGTGACCGCTTTGGAATACCAAGTGCTGTACGCTTAGATGTACGGGTGGTGTAATGGTACAACTATCTCACTCATTAGGCACGCCTGCGCAGATAAAAATGCTTTATATGCGCATGTGTGTCAGTCTGTGCGGGTGTGTCTATGTATCTGATGGATTGGATTCTCGAGCGGCAATTTTAAAGATTTTCCCATACAGAAAGTAGGATAAGATCATGCTGAGCATCTAAATTAGCTCTATCGGTCACACCACTACCTCCTTGTGCACAGACCTTACGTGTCACTTTTACAATCTGTAATCAAATCTAAAATTGCCCATAAGAAATAATTATTTGATAACACGATCTTACTTCATAAATCTCCTAACTGAAAAGTACACTTTATAAAACATCTGGCACCAAGTATTAATCTCACTTTATTTAACAACGGGATTGATGTGCTGAAGGTGTATTTTTTTCATTGAAGGACTCGAATTCCAGTCACGTTCTTTACATGAGGCTCGGAATAAACTCTACTGCCATTCAATAAGCATCATACAAGTACATCTTAAAAGACAACCACGAGAATAAATTAACAACAAACGCCATGAAAATGGCTAAAGAAGTGGCCGAAAGTGCTTTGGACAATAGGCACTACAGGCAATTTTTACACTTCCTTACCGAACTAAATGGGAAAAAAATTAAGAATACTAAAAACATTCAATAAAATATTAATCGCTTTTTTCATGTCTCATATTCAACGACATGTTTGAAATAAAGGTTGCTGCCCAAATATGCATTATATATATATATATATATATATATATATATATATATATATATATATATATATATGTTGTAGAGTAGTTTTTCACAGTGGAGGCTTGTATTTCACTAAGTCTGTCCTAAAAGAGTCCGACGTACAAAAGGTCAGGAACTTGCAAATGAGAGTTAATGACGCAGCAATCTAGTTGTGATGGTTGATACTTCAATGTCCGACATCGACTAACTCACTCAATACCACTGAGCTCAACTGGCGATCGCTACTACTACTACTACTTATTATGTGTGGGAGAGTCTATAACAATAGAATAGGTACTATAACTATATATATATATATATATATATATATATATATATATTATAAATTAATTGATTTAAAATATGGTTTTTTCCGCTACACAGTTCTAACCATGTTTCAAAAATATAAGCTAAAAGCCACGAATTTAATTTTGCAATTAAATTAAAGACATTAGTTCCATTTCATCCTCAAGCGAATTTTGGAGTAACTTTTAAAATTACTGGGTTTTAAAGACACAGCTAAATCCCGTTTCCATGGTTACAGATAAATCTACTTCAACTGGACAAGGGGTATCTGGGTTTTCCTTATGTCTGGGTTTTTTTTTATATATATATATATATATATATATATATATATGTGTGTGTGTGTGTGTGTGTGTGTGTGTGTGTGTGTGTGTGTGTGTTGTAAAAAAGTAGTCATACAAAGAATAAATCAGTAAAGATAATGTAATTTATGGTGAAATCTCTTCGCTGACAGATTAAATAAGGCATTAACTCTCTAACCACACGTTTGAAGACGCGAACCTTGTTTTTTAAAAACTGTAAAATAGATTAGATGTTCAGTCCATATTGCAAGTACTTTCAACACCACTTGTATCCTCTTCAGGCATGGATATTATTTTTCAATTTCAGGTAATTTCTTTCTACCAGTATTACATTTATTTTCGTCTCGGAATTTTACCTGAAATGAAAAACAAAGAAAAGAGTACTGAACTGTTACGTGATATCTGTCCTCCTATATGTCAGTGAATGCTGGACAATCTCCTCACAAATTAAGAAGAGACTTGAAGCAACAGAATTGTGGTTCTACAGAAGGATGCTGAGGATACTATGGGCAGAATATGTTAGCAACGACGAAGTTTTAGAGAAAATGTAAAGCAAAAAGGAAACTTATACTTAACATCACAAGGAGACAGTTGTCATTTCTAGGGAAGATAATGAGGCAAGAAGGTTTAGAAAATCTAAAACTCACAGGACAGATTAAGGGCAAGTGAGATAAAGGAAAACAACGCATAATATACTTGGTGAGTTTGAGTAAATGGGTGGCGGAACAGGATTTGGGCGAAATAACAAAGAGATAACATTTATAAAGAACAGGAAATTGTGGAGGGCCATTAACGCCTACGTTGTGAGGGGGCTCGGCACATGGAGACGAAGAAGTCAGGGCTTACGAGATTCGTTTGCTGCCTATTATTCCAGAGCGAGTAGTCTTCATTTATTTATGCCCAAAGAAGATGTTACATGTTTTTATATTATTTAGAAATAAAAGAATACGGAATATTAAAAAAAATATATGAAAGTTAACATCTTGGAGCATTTGTTCCTTGCCTTGATTAAGTTGATTATATTTGCTGAGCAACTCCCAAATTCCACAGGCAAGAAAAAAAACCTAGAGGCACAAAACACATAGGTTAGTGAGAACATTATCTATATATATATAATATATATATATATATATATATATATATATATATATATATATAACGCACTCAAATGAAGAGAAGAGACCCCCATTTGAGTACTTGCCAAGTGAAGTTAAACAATGCACATTTTTTTACAACACTACTTCATTTACTTCCGATTCTAGAAATGGGATAATAAATTATGATATGGCCGTCGGCGTCGACCGCTTCATCGTTAGTGAAAATGAAGAGAAATGCCGAAAAGACACGAACGGCACCACCATATTGTTTAAGACGTGTTCCCGGTTCTTCGTTGCTTCTCTTTCTTTTTCCGACCGAGAGAAAGCACTTAGCGTATCCCTCCGCGTAACGCTTTTGGGAAGATTGTGCACCCCTTGTCTAGGTTTTGAAAGCCTCCGCCGCCTCGAATCGATAAAGCATATAAGTCCAGCATTAACTTTGCCCAGGAAAACAGTGAAAAGGAACTAAAACTAAATATCGAATAACGAAAATAAACCAAAAAAAAAAAAAACAAAAACAAAAAAAACAAAAACTAGAAACGTAAAGATAGTACACATTCTCCGGGGCATATTTACTATCGGTGAATGCCGGTGAATAGCGTCGAAATGCGTGTAAGAATTACAATACAGTCTTTCAAAAGACCATCATGATTACAAGCGCACAAAGAATTATTAACACGTACGTATTCACTTAAACACTGGCATGTTTATACATGTTTATACACTTACAAAGACGCCATTAAACTGCGCACGAGCTTACGCAAACACGATAAACTGTTTTACATTAGTGTTCTTTCTTTCCAATTAGTACGTACACGCATAAACGTACAACGTTCGACGCAGAGGAAGAATTTTGGAAAAACGCACATGAGTGACAAATGGCTCACATGGCTTTGTCAAAAGTTCACCAAAAGCGACAAACGATTTTATACGATTTCGCGCGACATTCTTTACACCCACAAAGTCATTCCAAATCGTTCTGAACATTCTTCCACAAACGCTAGATTTTCGCAGACTATAGTGATTTTCCAAGCGTAACTTATATGTGGCACACGGACGAGTATGTCGAGCACCCAGTCAGGATCAACTGCTTCAGCGAGACAAGCTTGCCAACAATTACACCACACCGAAGTGCGATATTCGAAGCGCAGCTTATATATATATATATATATATAGAACGGGACCGAAAGTATGGGGCACCCAGTGAGGATCGAACTCACTACTCAGTCGTAATTGTTCTAGCGAGAAAAACTTGCTAACCATTACACCACCTCGAGGTACCCTAATGATTTTCTAAGCATCCCGTAGATGTGGCACACAGCTGAGTGTGTAAAGCACCCAGTGAGGATCGAACTCACTACTCATTCGTAATTGTTCTAGGGAGACAAGCTTGCTAACCATTACACCGCCTAGAGGTACCTTAATGATTTTTTAAGCATCCCGTAGATGTGTCACACAGCTGAGTGTGTGGAGCACCCAGTGAGGATCGAACTCACTACTTATTCGTAATTGTTCTAACGAAACAAGCTTGCTAAACATTACACCACGCTGAGGTGCCTTATTTGGGATTTTCTAAGCGTAGCTTACATGTGGCACTCGGCCGAAAGTATGGGGAATCCAGTAAGGATCAAACTCACTACTTAGTCTTAATTGTTCTAACGTGGCAAGCCCGTTAACCATTACACCGCTTTGAGCTGCCCATTTTCGCACAATATAACTTATAATCCACACGGTTCATTAACAGCAAAATATTAGACACTCTCATATAAATTGGTAGATTGCGGACGTTCATGAAACTCGATTACATCTTAATTGCCACCCGGCTCTCCATTATCAACACCATTATCACCCGTTCCATGATCGGATGAGCAAATGACCAACTTCCTCCATATGTCCCGGTTACGTGCTAATTGTTTGAGTCATTGTGACCGATGTTCAGTTCCAATCAGTTGCGTTCAGCCTACGTTTTCGCGTCTGCCTCCTCGGCTTTGCCCACGTTGGTTTTTTTGGGGTGGGGGTACAAGACAATTCAACACCTCTAAATCAACAGCGCCGACTGAACACCTGCAACTGAGCAGCGGGCCAACTTAAGACTCAGCACCAAAAACATATTATTTTTTTTTATAAATGAATAAATTTAATTTATTCAGAATTAAAAACTTAGTTAATATTTTTCAAATAAGGCTTTGAAAATTAAATAATTAAATCATAAAAAATATTCACTAATTTAGGTTTTAATCCTTAATAAATTACTTTTTTTCAATCATAAAAAGTTTTATGTTTTTCTGGTGATGACTTGTCTTTGTTCTGTGTTGTTTCGGTGTTTAGTTGGTGATATTGAGTTGTCGGTATTGAGTTGTCACTGTTCGGTTGTCGGAATTGAGTCGGCGGTATTGAGTTGTCGGTATTGAGTTGTCGGTTTTGAGTTATCCCCTCCCGAGGTATCTTGTAGTATAGGATGTTCCAATAACTTGGACCGATTTTAAATGACTTAAGTTTAAGCGTCTAATGATTTTTCCTTTTACTTTCAGATTTAACAACTTAAGTCTTTGG